TGTACCTACATCCGGTCCTGATTTCAGCAACGACATTCACATCTCTTTAGAAAGATTTGTGTGTTATTTCCGCAGGTATTCATTTACTGAAGTGAAGATGAAAATCTAGTGGATGTTATAAATCTTATTCATACACATTGAAATTTTTTGCGGCGCTTTAAAAAAAATGGTATGAGAAAGTGTGAAAAAAGAAAAATGCACTGATTGCTGAAAATACTCCATTCGAAAACGATAAATGCTTGATCTCCTATTTTTGTAGTACAATACGCGTTCAGTGGTACAATTTAGTGATTTATTTAACGACAAAAATATCAATTACAAACTGCGTGACGTATGGAAAATTACGGAATAATTTATAAACTTCAGAATCGAAAATTTCATTATTTTAGTTTAAATTTGACAGGTTATGACACTTAGTTCAAGACACTATACTAATAACTGACCAAAATACTAATTGGTAATTCAGCTAGCTTTAAAATCAGATTACATTGTGTCAGATAAGTAAAGTATCACGTATTCGTGCGGGTGATGTTCAACTAGTTGTATTTCATTATTACTTTAACAATATGCATTACTACAATGTTAAATGTGATAAAATGAAGTGTATTTCAGTTTTAAAATAAAAGTTATTTTTCAATTCTCATTATTTGTAGTAATATTTTCTGTGCATGTTTATCGTTTTTTAGTACACCATCATTCTTTGAGAGATCAGTAAATCGTACTCATTGCAGAGAACCATTCCATCATTTGTGGACTCCTTATCTTCGTCACTGAATTAAACACGTGCCACATGAGAATCATACACAAGATATTTTGAAGAAAGCGACAAACAATTCTGGTGGTAGAATTATGTATGTAAACCAATGAAGTTTGCACTACACCGAAAGAAGAAATTATTCTTAAACTTCCTACATCACGAAGGGAACGCTGTTCTTTGTGTGATTTCACTATGTGAAACAATTCTTTGAATTCGCCTTAAAAGGTTTTCAATCTTTTTTAGTCGTAAAATTATTTCAACTTATCAAAGTTGTTTTAGTTGATATTAACTTTAAAGCGATAGCTCTAATAAATCCGTAATACTTATTCATATACTTCTTTGTTTAGAGACTTACTGATAACACTGCATTTTTGTTAATTATTACCCATGGTTGCTTTAGCGCTGTAGAATAAAAAACTTCGGCAAGCAGCACGGGATGAATTCGGCATTGCGGACAACTCTCAGGCTTCTTGCCACGCTTAATTAAACTAAATTAGACCCCCCTCCTCACGATAGGGTACCAACTCTATTGCAAGAATATTCCCCGAATAATGACATTCGTTCGCCACAAAAGCGATGATGAGACTCCCGAAACATTATTTTTAGTCCTCTTATTTTTCCCATTTAACTTGATTTTCATCCAGCATTCTACTTTTCGACATCTATTGACTGATTCTCCTTGTTTGATCATGATATCCAATTCTGTAGACAGTGGCGATTCTGACACATTATCTTTGGCGGTTCTTATCATGTTTTCGTATGGTGTTGCTTGTTCTTTATCAGGACAATGCACTGTTATTTCCCTGTCAGTTGCTTCTGAGCTACTGGAGAGAGCATGTCGGGTCACACGTAAGTAGAGAAATATTTTTTTTATCTAACGAAGTGTTGCTTTTACATTCTTACACTGTATTAAGGCATTGTTAAAATGGTACTTAATACAATTTTCCAATCCAATGTTAAAGATTTTTGCAAGGTTTTAGGAAAATTGCGAACGTGACATGCATATAATTCCTCGTGACAGTGCCACATCACGATATCGCAATGCATACATTTTCCTTTCTATTAGAAACATGATGTTATCTGTTGATTTCTCTTTCATTATGTATATGAGGGGCATTTGTAGTCATTATCAACTTATACATTATTGTGTTATAGGTTACCTTGTGCTCTGAGAGAGGAAACAGACTTAACCAAGGCTGATTATGATGGAATAATTTTAGTTTCATCTTTGGATGCAGCAAGTGAAAAGCACATTGATCCATTTAAATCAGTTTTAAATAATGCCTCTCAGGTTAACTATTTATTATTGCTAACAAATTATTTTAAAATTCCTATGAAAATTGTCATGTAACTAAGAAAATTCTAATCATGTAATCATTGTGTAGCTTGACAAAGCCCTGGGTGTGGAGGCAAGTGTTTTGGAAATTCCTGTTCCTGCTCGTCGTCTGATATATGTTCATACTGGTCCACTCAATAGAGATTATGATGATGCCAGAAATTTTAGTGATGCTGCCAAGAAAGGAGTAGAAAGGTAAATTCTAAAAACTTACTGACAATTGCAAACTGGGAACTCAAAGATTTTTAGGTGCCAAAATATAATTTTCGAGGTTAGTTTAATAAAATATATTCTCGGGTACTTGGAACAAGTGGTCTGATGTTATCCTTGCGTGCTTAATGAAGTACAATAAATGCCTTGATGACAGTAGTATGTGAACTAGAATTCTTGAAAATATTTTGTTAAAGTATATTTCCTCAATAAATAGAGACAAGTGTTTAGGACATCTCACCTTTGAGAATTATAGCCTTCAATTCTTCTAACAGTTTGCAAAAAAAAGGGAGAATTGTCATCTGAAAAACAAACATATTTGTAGGGCAATAAAAGCTGGAGTGACTGCCCCTCTTCTTGTTGTTTCACCACATCCGTCATATCCTCAGGCAGAAGTAGTGACACTTCTTGGAGCATTAGAAGCGCTCTATGTTGTAAGTATATCTTGTAAGTCTGTTGATTCTCCTATAATCCTCCTATAATTATAATTCTTATAATTCTCCTATAATTAGACCCACCTAGAAGCTTTGATTAATATCCCAACATTTAGTGACATTTTTATTATACATGCTACACAATTTTACATTAATGGTTATAATATATAGAGGTTTCTTCATGAAGAAATACATGGCATCACAATTTTAAAATTATTCTTTATAGCCTCTTCAAGTCCGTGAAGAACTACCCGAGAAGAAAACCAAAATAAACACCCTTGGAGTGTTTGCTTCTGATGTGAAAAGACTGCAGGGGATAATAAAAGAGGCCATTGCTCTGGAGAGTGGAAGGTATGCATTTTGTTGAAATATTGATTATATTATGTGACTTCCAAAGAGGAAAATAATCTTTTATACATTTCTCAGTTGTATTTCGTACTCAAATCATCTTAATGTGAACATACAACAAGTAATGATCACTTCAATTGATGTACTAGACAAACTAAACATAAATTTACAGTTATGAATCATTGAAACACAGAAAATCATCTTTCACATGTGGAATTACGTTTGATGTTGTTTGTTTTTTCTCTTTTTCCATTTAGATATGTAGCACGAGACATAGGTGGGGGAGACCCAGAAAGAATGGCTCCTCCTAGAGTTGAAAGTTATGTGAGGCAACTGTTCAATGAAAGCTCTATCATGGTTGAAGTGATTGACAATCATAAGGTGTTCGAAAAAGAGTATCCCCTTTTTGCTGCAGTGAACCGAGCTGCCAACGGTGAGTGCACCCTTGGAAGTTGCAGCAATTTTATGGAAATTTCCTTCATTTTTCAGTACATAATTTATAAACCTACCAGTTCATCAGAGATTCCTCTCTTATTGTAAATAATAATAATAATAATAATAATAATATTTATTGTGTAACATATACAATTACAATCGTGTATGACGTGTAGAGTCTATATGATGTCTTGGGTGGAGAGAGTGAAGTTACATTACTGTTCAGGAACAAACAAGAGGCCATTTGCTCAAGGGACCAGGAAACTGAACAAAACCTGATTGAGATGGAGTCATTGGCTTAGAAATGGATAGATTAGGATATTATACAGTAGATTATTATTTTTAGTAGTAGGTAATTTAACATTTCAAGATGTTATTGTCATTTTAATGCTACAACTCATTATAATTATAATAATAATAATAAAGTTGGTTTGAAATATCTTACATTCATATTTTTCTGGACTTCAGTTGAACTTTTTTAATTTTCTTTTTTTATTATTATTAATTGCGGTGACATTGTAATAACACAACCTTTTTCACAATTTTTGAGAATGTCTCAATTTTGATGTTGCAGCATAATGAGATTCACGTTAATTAACCTCGCTTCAGAATCCACCAATCCAATTTGTACAGTACAATACGTACATAATTATGTGCAGAATAATTATCATGATAACTATTGTGAACATGACTTTGTGTTAAAATAGTCAATCCCAAAGTGCATGATAACTAATTTGATTCAAAGAATGTTGCATCATGAGAAATGAGGTATTTTTAAAAATGAGCAAGTTTAGTTGGCAAAATTGTGAAAATTATTTTTTAAATGTGTAAAGTATAATAATTGAAATGAAGAAAACTAGTTCCAAAAGCTACTAATCTTTCCTATTCATATGGCCTGATATTGTATCTCAATTACATGTCTTAAATTATAATTAAATATTTGTTGTCAATGTTGGGAATGGAATTTTGTATAATAATTGTTATGAAGGGTAATAATGTTACTTCGAGAAACAAAATTGATACTCCCTTTAGTTGTGCTTTATGCTCAGCTTGTTCTAAACATTTTTATTCTATAGTGTTTCAATGTACTTTAATTTTGGGAGTGACCTTAGATTGGACAGTCATTGTAGTCTTTGTTGCAGCTTTGTGCATAATGTAATTGCCTTAAACATGCATTTAATTTTTTTTTAATTACTTTTCTTGTTTATTACAGCTGTTGAAGCAGTAGGACGAATATTTTCTTGACATACAAACCAGATGGGGCTGTGGATCAAACGTTATTCCGTTGGAAAGGGCATCCATACGACACGGGTGGTGCTGACATAAAAGCTGTGGAATTATGGCTGGTATGTCCCGGGATAAGTGTGGAGCTGCAGCTGTGGCTTGGCTTTATGCAGGTATATAAAATGTATTTATTATTATTGTATTTTTTATTTAGAAATCTTTGTTCAAAATCTAATATTTTGTTCAATTGTTGCAGACTGTAAACGTATTAAAACCCAAAGGAATTGTCATTGAAGCAGCAATGTGCTTAGCACGCAATAGTGTTGGTGAAGAATGCTACGTTGCTGATGAAGTAATTGTTGCTCGCAGCAAAGCTCGAGTTCGTGTTGGTAATACTGATGCAGAAGGCAGAATGGTTATGGCTGATGTACTGTGCCGGGTTAGTTATCTAGAATTTGGCAATAAGTGTACCTAGTCATTAATGACCAGAGTGAAAGGATGACCAGTGTTTTTAGAACATTTTATTTCCTATTATCTCTTGCTTTTGAGTTTTTCAGTGCCCTTTGCTTTCAATATTTTTTTTCTTTGTTATTGTCAATTTCAGAAAATTCTATTTGATCTTTTTTAATATGACCTTATTAAATTTTTCTTCTTAACATTTTATTGGATGTCCACAGGCCAAGGAACGTGCTCTAAATGCTGTGAATCCCCATCTCATGACTATTGCTACCTTAACAGGACATGCTGTTCTGAGTGTTGGAAGTGGATATACTGTAAGATATTTTGAATAATCATACAAATTACTTGTATTAATTATGTCAGACCACACCAATTTATATTCTTTTTCTGTGGGTTTTTTTCTTTCTCCTAGATATTAATGGATAATGGACCAGCCAAGTCTGTTGACAATGCTAAGAAGATTCAAACAGCAGGTGAACACTATGCTGACATGTTTGAAATAAGCACTATTCGCCGAGAAGATTTTGCATTCCATGCAGGTGAGTAATCATCATTGGTCACTAGAACAGGTTCCCAATATACTAGTATGCTGTTAGCCATGTTGGAGTTGCAAGCTAAAGTTAGTTATGTCAGAAGAAATTGACATTCTTGAAAGATAACTAGGAACTTTGACCCAATAATTTTCTTAATTTTCAATTTTTTTTATTGCATACACATTTTCACTAGGACCTAATTATTGAAGAATACTTTCATATAACTTTTAGGTAAACCAGAGAGAAGGAAGGGAGGAAATACCACAATATTTCCTATAGAGGCTTCATAGATAAAATGATTAAGCACTGCTACTAGGTATAGTTGGAGTTAAAAGATTTGTAATATTATTAAGGTTTATAATTGTTACATGCACTGTTTCTTTTTTTGAAAAATTAATAATACTAGCTGAACCAGAGAATCAAGATGAAGTCTATATTGATGAATTAATTTAATTTTACATAATTTATATTTTCTGTTAGTGCGTAACAACCTAGGCATGGTATGGAGTTGGGGTACAGAGAAGACCTTATCTCCAAAAATACAACAGATGAATCGAAAGGATCTCGTTTTGTAGATTACTGCTTAAGAAAACGCGGGCTCCCATCTACCCCCCGCATCTTTCCCTCCCAGCATGATCCTCACATGCTCCCTAGCATATGTCCAGCACCCCAGATGTTCCCCTGGCGATCCCCTAAAACTTTCCTCACAAGTTCACTGCTTTTTGTACTGCATATTCTCTCGCATGTTCCCATCTTGTTTCCAGAGATGTGTCCCCTCCCCCCTCTGCATGTTCAATGCTTTTTAACAACAAATTTGATATATATGAAATCTTTTTTTCAAAGTTACAAAGACAGATAGATAGTGAAATGGCGCTAGGAATGTATACTCTTTAACACCTGCAATATTCAGAAGAAGAAAATAGATTTTAGCCATATCAAATGGGGAGGAAAATGCATTTTCAGTGACATTTTTAACAAAAATTATAATAGTAATTTATATTAATTTTAGTCTTTATTTGGAGTTGTTTGTAGTTGCTGCAATATTAGATTCTGTCAGCAGGTACTGTTTAACTGCAGAAACTGCTTATTATGTTTTATTAAGATTTCAGTTAAATTGTTAAAAACAAAAGGTTTTCGCAGGGAAGTTAAAGTGTCAGTGAAGTTGCATTAATAAGCAGATAGTGCACTTTTAATGTATTAAATGTTCATTCTATGTAAAATTGATGTTATTGAAAACAGAGCAATCGCATTTTAAATAATGTGAAAGTCTTTAAAATGCCTAGTGCTACATATAACTTTAATTCTAGGAAAATCTGAAGGAGATGACGTACATCAATGTAATAATCTTCCCTCATCTCGCACACCTCGTGGTCACCAAACACCTGCAGCCTTTCTTCAACTTGCTTCTGGACTGGACAAAGTATGAGAATGTCTAATGTTTCATTATCACCAACAGAAATGTTACTTATTTAAATATTTTTATAAAATGTACTTGTTTTATATTTTGCAGAATGGGATAGATTCTGACAAGCCTTTAAAATTCACGCATATTGATGTTGCTGGTGCTGCAGGCGATTTGCCCAATGAGCCTACTGGAGCGCCAATCATTGGCCTTACAGCTCACTTCCTCAAAGGTCGTTACACACTATAACCTTATGCTTTCAATCATCAAAATGGAATCAAGCTGAAAGATCCATATACAAATAATACCTTTGTAAAATTTTATTGTAATAATAAAATGAATACTTCCTGTACTTAAGTAATTTTATCATCGATGTACTTGGCAGCAATGGTACTTAAGGGCAAAATGCAATGGTTATATTCTATTAATACATACATTAATGGAAAATAAAAACTGAATTTGAAAATTACACTTTTTTGTCTTATTCCATTTCCTATGAAAGTACAATTACCCACAAAAGAATAGAGAAATGTATGCATTAACCTATTCATAATAAAGATTTCTTAATTGGCAAAAAGACTTGTGCATAAAATAAGATCTTGCAGGGATAAAAGGGAACTAAAATTTAATTCTTATTTTCTGTAAAATTCTGACTTTTTCTACATTGCTTAAAACAAATTGATGGAACCTTTTTGGTCCAAGTCAATAACAAAATGTTCTTTTAACATTATCATGTATGTACTATAAGTTTAACATCAAGAAAACCATCGCTAATTCTCCCCTTACCAGGCCTCTGGTTGCTCAAGCAGAAATGACATGCATAACAATGAGTTATCGTCGATACGCATTAACAATGAACATCGTACATATACATTTTGAAATTCTGATTTTCTTACAGTACTATGGCTTCGAAAAGGAACATTACGCTAAACCACAAGAAGAAACCTGAAGTTTTTGATGTTTATCGTCGCACCCCCCAAGAACGAGACCGATCAACTCCACCCCCGATGTTAATAATTAAATAATTTGGCATGGCGCGGGTATTCGGCGCAGTACATGACCTGTTTTGGCCCGGCCTACCTTCCCCCACTGCCCATACAATAGAGCGCAGGCGGATTTTTTACGACCTCTTACGGACCCGCTATCTTTTTTTTGCCAGCCGACTCCCAAATGTAGGCCGTCACGTATCTACGTGACATAAAACTCGGCTCCGGTCAAAAATACTTCCTTAGCTAAAAAGAAAACATTCAAAAGACGCCGCGGTGCAGCTGTCCTAAACGAGAGTAGCAGCAGCAGCATTCAAAAGCGAGCGGTTGGGTATGCCATAGATTTCCCCCCCCTTCCTTTTTCCATTTGCCAAAGGCGGATCCGTGACGAATTTTAGGAGAAGAAATTCAAAATGCTTTCGTCGAATATGTCATATCACAGATTTTGTAAAATGCCGCAAGCTACACTCAGCTCATGCTGCGATACGATTTTGTTCGTTTTAATGATAATCAGAAAATATTTTTGCTTCAACGTCTCGTGACAAGTTGAAATTAAGAGTCACTGAAAAATTGTGGTGGCGGTGGTGGTGGTGGGGGGGGGATTTCCCTCCCCGTGGATCCGCGCCTCCATTTGCGCGGGCGTGTTATTCCAAGGAGCGCGACGTTTTCGAAGATACTCGTGCAACAAAGGAGACCGCGCGACCCACTCACACACCCGCTCCCCCATTAAATTGCAGGATCTAGCGCTTTTTAACGCAAACATGCGCGTCGACCAAACGGATTTTTTACAAAAGAATATCTTGGAAGACTGCCGCGTTCAACACCGTTAGGTCGCAGCTGGGTCGTATTCCACATACCGCAAAAACGAAAAGGGGCGTACTCCACCCCCGCGGGGATTGTGGACCGTGTGACAATCGACGCGGCAATGTTCGGCAACGAAAATGCAAGTCACATATGTTAATAGTCATAGGGGGAAAATGTCACAGCAAACGGAAAGGACGTAGAAGATTTTGTACGGAAGATAATAGAAAGATACGGAAGACGATATAACTGCAGATGTCTCGTACAATGCTCATTAAACCTGCCTTTTTTTAACAAGACGCTTCCTTCAAAAACATTAATCGCGAGAAGATGCGATTTTATTCTATTCTTCAGAGAGGACCCTCTTGAGCTATATTTTATTCGAAACGTTATGCTTTTGCACATGCTTTTCCAATCCCACCTAAAGTTCTCAATAACACGCTTAGGTACAACCATAACGTCACAATATGTACTGTATGAATTAACGCTTTGTCCTGCTGAAAGTAATATGTCGATCCCAGTGCAAGATTAGCTGCAGTTTGTTTGACAACTTTGGAATCAATAAAATGGAATTTCCCGACACTTGAGGCAGACATACAGCCCCATATTATACCATTATGGAGTACCTGCCGTGCTTTACAGTTGCATGCAAATTTGTATCTTCTAATGTTGCGTTTACCTTCCCCCACACGTACTGTGGCCCATCTGATCAAAACATCTTAAATTTACTTTCATTGCCGAAAACCGATTGCCAGTGATTTTTCTGAAATTTCAAGTAAATTTCCGACCGAAGGAGTTGTTTCTGTAATATTTCACGAACTGCAGAATGTTGTGCAGATTTGGCTTACTAGTCCAAGGCTTCTTCGCTACTCTCCCGTTGTAACCTGCGTCTCATGCCTTTCGAACACTTTCTGTGGATACAGTTCTCCCCATTGTTGAAAACACCCACGGAGCCATTTTAACGACACTTTGGCGAGGATTCCTGCTAATGTTATTGACAATATTTCTTTTATCTCGTTCGTTGAGTATCGGATTTCGGCCTCAGCTTATTTATTAGTTTATCTACCATCGTGAATTGGTATACCATACCTTGAATAGTTGAATGAACCCTTTGCCATCGCGATACCTCGTAGAGATCTTCCCCTCATGGCTAAATTCATAATAAGTCTTCGTTCTTCCATCGTAGTTTCCCTTCTCGGGCCATTTTCAATTCGATAATGCTCTCCGCAAACCTGACCATCAACTAATCTCTCTGTCACAACTTCGTACCCAAGAAAACATTTCAACGGCTACGTTTCAAAGCGCGCTTGCGATGGTGTACGTTCATTACTGTACAACACTTATTTGTTGGTATCACAGAATATATTTAATTTTACACCTAATAAAGCAATTTTCTGCTTTCAAATTGCACTAGTCCTTCCAGAAAATCTCAAATATCCAAATTACCCATATTGAGAAGAAGTAAAGGATTACAGTGAAGGTGTACGCTTAATTTTGAGAGCCATTGTAGTAAGTAACCTGTAGATTCATTTCAGTCTCTACGCTTCCCAGATCAAGCAAAAGGAAAGCTCAACAATAGTGTGGAACGTAAAGCATCTTCAGAAACAAAATATGGGCCATTTCAGTACTTGCTCAAAAGATCAGGGAAACGATATAAACTTGATCGAGGTGGGAGTCATTGACCCAAAAGCTTGTGTATGTTACAGGCATAATAAGTATTTTTAAAACATTACAAATGTAAACTAATGCAATGAAAATAATTGTTAAAATAAAAATCTTCCCATTTGATGGTCAGATCGGTCTCTAATTGACGCTTGACAAATAAAATTTGTTTAACGTGTGATGTAATTATAAGTATTCGTATTGGATGAAAATATGTTCCCACAGTTAATTTTTGATCAATTTTGACAAAAATTACAGATTCATAAATAAATAGATAAGATCCCAAGCTCAATGAAGAGAGGTTTGCAGAAATCTGAAGAACGGCTGGCATTTGCTCGTTATTCATATTTCCTTCTGCAATCTAAAAATCATGAATATTATACGACGAGCTCCCAATATATTATACCACATCTCAGGCAGGGATGTGCATTTGCAAAACACACGCGAGGTGCATGAAGGCAGATTGTTTTTTTTCAATTTGGAATGTGTAACTATGAACGTGGAACTATTCCGTGTAATTTATTTGCAGTGAGAATGTTTTACGTTATCGTAAAGGAGCTGAAGATGAGTAATTTTGTGCTGAATTCAGAATTGAATTTGTTTAATTTCATCGCTACCCCCTCTCAACTGGTTTCCACTCTTCATTTTGGATAAAAAAAAAATAGGTGCGTTAGCGTCGTCCAGCGTAGTTTTGCGCAATGTTAAGCAACATTGCACAACAAACAATCGAACGCATTTAAAGAAAATATTGAAACTCGTGGCAATCAAAGATTTAAAACGACAATAACGCTTGTGTCATATGAGCGTTGCGTTAACACGCATCACCAAACGCTAATGACGCCAGCTCCATCGATGCCTGTGCACATGAGCCTCTTAACATGCGTACTAGATTAACACTATCATATATGAAATGGCACACGAGCGCTCTTGGCGACGTGCGTTGCCGCCTATGCGCGCTGAAAGCTAGAAAACGTGCATTACCTTCACTTACGTTACTTGAGCATCTTAAGATATGGGCACAACGCACGACGCGAAGAGTGCTCAGGTGCCTTTTCGCATGATAGTGTTAATCAACTGGTGCTCAGGCATTGACGCAGCAAACAACAACATAAGGTCAAAGCAATGATTATGCGACACACGCATAAAGGACTCGCTGCGTAAAGTGCGAATATTGGTGCTATCTTTCCCATCTGTCGTGGCTATGCCTGGCCAGAGTGTCTTCTCAGTAACAAATGATGTACTTCAGCTTCCGAGTCGAGGACCGGTAACAAGGTACTTCAGTTTCTGGTCTCAATCAGGTTTCAATCCCGATTCCCTGATCCACTGAGCAAGTGCCGAGATAGCTCCTCGTTTTGCTCCTCGACATAAATCACTAAGCGCACATTTTGTTGAGCTCACCTTTTGCTAGTAGTGGTAGAGTAGAACTGGGGAGTGTGAAACAATTTTGTTAGCAATACATAAAAATCTAATTTGTTAACCGATGAAAATTAATTTTCTATAACTCGGGAGTGAAAAGGTCTAGTTTTCAAAAGTTGCTAACTTCACTTTCCTTGAAACTTTTATTCATCATTTAACTATTTAGTTTATATGTTGGGAAGATTCTGGAGCTCAAGAAAACATATGCAGAGGGTATTTCTCCCCCATACATTACATATTTTTACTGTTCTTTTACTAAAAAAATCAAAAGCAACATTAGTAGTCAATCCACAACTAGAGCGCACCAATAAAAAAAATAAAAAAGAGCGTTTGTTTCACTCATAATATTAGATTTCAGTTATGCGTTTTTTCCCTTCAGTCCGCTGAAAAACGTGCTAGTGAATTTTTTACTGTCTTGCTTTGTTATTACAAAACCGATCTGAAACGTCTGAAATCTTACAATTTATTGTTTCTTTTTTGTAAAAACCATTCATATCATCAAACACAATTTTGTTTCTAAATGAAAAGGACATGTCGTTTGGTAAAACAGAGGGTAGGGTCTAAGATCAAACTCTGCACAACTCTCCTCAATTGGCAAAGAATTGGAAAGGAGTAATTAACAGTCTTTCATACCAGTACTGTATTTCTACTCTTTGCAACTGATGTTTAGCAAAAGAAGATATTAAATCTAGGGTAATATTCATCATGTAATTATTATAAAGAAACATGTGAATCACATCAAATTTATAATAACTTTACACTCTCCTTCCCTTTCAAGAACTGCTATTGTTAACACAAATGAAACTCCTTAATTTTCTCAAACGTCAATATTTTTATTTTACCCATTTGTGCTATATTTTTAACTGTACAAAATTAGGTCTCCCCCCAAGCACCATGAGCAATATAATACTTCCCTGTAAGGAATATATACATCATATAATACAGTTGATATACAAAGTTGTTTTTAAGTTGAACAAATATATCCTGCATTAGGAAATGACAAATACAAACTAATTTTACATATAAAGGTTCACCATGCAATTAATATTCTAAATGATAATGACCAAAAAGAAATGTTCCAAAACATGTGATATAAGTCATTTACCCTACTTCTCACAGAGTGAACAAATATCAAATCTTGCTCTGGACCAAACTACAAAACGTGGTTTTACATCAATGACTACTAATACATGATCCAGAAAAATGTAATTTGATATTAACAGGGATAAATAATGCAATTTTTTAAAGACCATTTAGGGAATTGCCTCTATGGGAGGTTAATTTCAATATTGTCAATAATTGTCCAACTGTGCAGTTCCCAATATCACTGCAAAAGAGGCTTTGTTGCAGATAATGTATAAAACCTTAGCAAAAATCATGCAATTAGAAAGATGTAACACTTAAACAATATTGCCATCATGACAGTATGAAACATACAATTCATTTTAACAGAGCATTCTTTCACAAAAAATAGTGTTAAATCTGTAACAATATTCATTGGCTCATGTTATTTTCCACTTCCTAGTTTGTGAAAAGGCCAATTTTATTTATACACACTACAATGTATTTCTAAAACACTGCTCAAGGAATAGCTTGAGGTGCAACTAGTACAGAATGGAAGACTTTGGGAATATAAATGATATTGCAAATAAACTTGTTTCCATTGAGCAAATAATAAAAATAAGCTATGGTGTGGCCTTCACAAGCTAGTAAGCATTTAGAATACTGGTTCAATTATGTTTCTGGATTGGAACATTTACATTCTTGCAATATACAAATTATACGGTAATGTATGTTCTTTTACAATTGTCGCTGAAATCCTCAAAATAATTTCATTTCCAATTAATGACATATTATAATTTCGCTGTCATCACTCATCTGATCAATTCTTTATAAAGGGAGAGGGAAATTTTAACTTACAGCTTTACCTAATTTCTGAAATCATGTCTGAAATGAATTAACAATTAAATTAGTTCAGTATTGTAGATACTTGCAACAGCAATGTAAATCAATAGTACACAACTCTAGCAATACACAGCTGCAAATTAAATTGACACCAATTTTTGTAATTACGTTTAAACTACTGTGCTGGGTAGATGTAAATTTTAATACGAATTTTTTTTTTACACAACTAAGAAATTCATAACAGCTGCTGTGGCTCAGAGAGATTTGTACAAATAAATGATAAACATATAATTATTCTTGTGCATTTGTAAATCAATCGGCACCAGAAGTGTGGTGATGAAAATTTACACATCCACATAATAAAGTTAAATAAAAATCCACAAAAAGGTAAACAAGCAATCCAAACCAACAGCACCAAACAATGATCATTTAGATTTACATTGATATTTCAAATGCAGATAAAAAAGGGCAGTTATGAATGTCACCAACACCAGAAAATAAATCTAGAGCTTACAGATGTACACAAGTGCCGCTAACCTTGGGGCAAATCAAACATGCCAAAAAGTTGCTATTGAATGCCAAGGCAATCATGAAGCAGAACTTCCTTTCACAAGGCAGCTGATACATCTTCAAATGAAATGTCCAAATAAAATTCCTGATTTTAACACTTTCCTTATTTGATTCACAAGTTCTACAACAGCAGCTACCCTCATTTGAATGCAGGAAAAAAGGTTTGTTGGTTGACGAGAGGTGCCTGTCCTGGCAAAGGAGCTGCAGGATGCTGCATTCCATGCAACATGGGCTGCATTGGTCGATGAGTAGGTGGTAACATTCCGAGGCCCACAGAATTGCCCACAGAATTTCCCACAGGCACAGCTGCAGGCATGAAACCTACAAAGGCAAAAACAAGTTGAAATACAGAAATTATTCTCCACTTAACACAAAACAATGCATAAATGAGTTTTGCCAAAAGCATTGCAAGCATCCAGACTACAGGATTTTTTTAAAAAAATTAACAGAGCAATACTGAGAACAAGATTCTAAAAGTTGAGAGGTCATTCTTCATTTGAGATAACATAATATCAGTATAAATTAGACAGTAAAACTCCATTGTAAGAGAGCTCGTTATAAGAGAAAAAAAATCATTGTACTGATGTATATAAACAATGTATTTATTTCTTGTTACAGGAAATTCCTGCCTACTGTGGACAAGATTCTATTCCTGCTATGCATTTGTTCTCACTTGTAAGAGAAAGAGTTTAATGTTCCTCAGAAACTTCAGGAATTCAGAAATTTCATCATGGTATGGCATGGTAAAGGTTTGACCAATACTTAAAATAGACTGGAGCAGGGTTTCATAACAACAGTTTCACCAGGGAGGGGGGGGGGGAGGAGTTCTCTTGAGGGACACTCATTTCTTAAGCTTCATGTCTCTTGGCCATAAAGAAGTTGCAGCAGTGCCACATTTCCAATTGTTTTTGGTACTGTGGAGCTGTATTTTGCCACATGTATACAGAATTATATTTTATTTCCGTGCTTTGAATCAGTTTCATTGCTATGTGGACAATTTTGCATGGACATACATCAGTACTACGTGAGTGAATTTAAACGCTCAGTTTTTAATTTTGTTTTTGCCTTCTACACAACTGCGAGTGATGGCATCGAAGAAAAAGGTTTTGGCAGAGAAGCTGCCCATAATTACACAAGTTGACAAGTGTAAAGAGCAATCATGGAAAGCTGTGGCTAAAACACTGAAGATACCAGTTTTATCCCACTGAAAAATTACACACAAGAGAGGAAATTCTCAGTGCCATTGGGAAGATGGGTACCATGAAGAAAATTCATTTGTTACTATTCAAGGAAATGGAAAAGGAAGTGGGGGGTTGCGTAACAGATGAATGTAATAAATATCAGAGCAATGCTGGGTAATCAAATAGTTTTCAATACAAGATTAAGATGACATTCTCCAACAAATATTTATGTACAAAAAGTTTATGTAGGGATGAAGGAAATAAGACACTGAAGCAAGTTAAATAACACTTTCAACTCCTCACCTTGAATTTGTGGCTGTGGTGATAAGGAATGTATTGGAGATGTAGGACTACTAAATGCCATCTGGTTCATAGAAGGAGCATTTCCAGATCTTGCATTTTTATTTCCAGTAATGCTTAGATTGTCAATGTTGATATTCAGATTTCCAGAATTGGTCCAGGTACTTCCAATCTGAAAACAAAGGTAACCAAATTAAAATTACAAATTAATTAACTAATTATTTCAGTATCTTATGGATTACAAATTTATACAGATTACAGCTAATGGGAAACTACGAAAAATATTTTGAACATAATATTTCAGTCCTGAAATGAAAGTTCAAACTAGTGAATCAAACCAAAGAGAAAAGAAATCAGAATCCATAACTATCACAGTAAAGCACTGTAAAGCTTTACATACAACATCTTCACTAAGCAGTAAAGAAACTAGATCTTTGTAATAATTCAATTAAAAAATGCAAATCTCACAAATAGGTGAAGTTATAGCTCCGATATTGAAGATGTAGCATTCCCATAATTAATGCTTTTTATGTTCTAATTTGTAAACACAGTACGTATATAAGAAATTGTGAACAGTTATTTTAGGTTTCTGACGTTGGGGCATTAGAGGAATACTGAAAGATAAATTCAATTCTCATTACCAAGAAACATTAATGAAACCTGATGGCTTTGCATGTGCTTTTTAGGAGGAATACATTTAATTTAGTAATGGAATTATTTTGTTGAGAACAGTGTCCTTACAGGAGGAGCAGCAGTATTGGTATTGGAAGACGAGCTGGGAGGCAGCTGGGTGGCATTTGCAGAGGCTGGAGTAAGAGGCACCAAGCTTGGAGCTATTATGGCACTGTTCATCAACGTATCTGTAATGGCAAAACATAATCATCAAAAACAAAAAGTAACCTTCAACACTAGAAACAAAATTCACCGTAACGCAATTAAGTGCTGTCTAGCACCAATAAATGAAAATATACTTTTCAAATGGCGGTAAAATGTACAGTAAAGACAGTGTTACAATATAGCTTTACATAGCTTTCTAAACACAAGTGAACCCCAAAAACCAGACTATTAAAAAAAAATTGATTGAATAAATAATACACAATTGTTGCCATAATATTTTGTATCAAAGATGTTCTTTATTTTCATACATTTGGTATAACCACAATATCTTTAACATATAAGCAGTCATCATTCACATACATTCTTCTCATCAAAACTTAAAAAATGAGCTCCTTTGATGATGATGATGATGATGATGATGATGGTAATAATAATAATAATAATAATAATAATATATACATACATACATACAGAGGGAAGAATTATACAAGTCAACTTAACAGACAGTATCACTCGCTCTGAAAAATACTGGCAATAAGAATTAAAATGTGTGCTGATAATTCCCGGCAGTTAGCATCAGGATCACCTTTTCCAGGAATTGTACTAGCAGAGTCCTTCAGCCACAAAGAACACTCCAGAACTTGATCCTGGAGCTCTGCTTGCAATAGCACTTTTGGCACAGACAACAACACACTTCTCACACAACACATTAACTCTAGGCGAACTTTAGCCTCACAATGGTATCTTAAACTCCACACAATATTCAGTAACTCTTTTCCTCTTTGAGCACAAGAAGGGGTGTTAACAGCACACATAGTAATAACATGTAATGTCCGTAAAATATGAGTTAAAATCAAATAATCCTTATCAGCATTTGAGAGGTCATCGTTATACCAGAAACTACCTTTAGAACGTCCAAAATCGTGTAACAATGGGAAGAAAAAGGATCCTACTACACCTGAAAATCTGTTCTTATGAGTTATTTGAGAATGTTTAGGAGCTGAACCAAACCTCCTTGTATTTTTCTCTATTCTAGTTTTAACAATATCTGCTGTTAATGCAGGTGGTTCTGTCTGCTTCTCTGGCTTTGGATTAGCAAGGTTAGAGAGTTTTTTTGCTGCACCCATAAGCACATCTAGCATCAAAATTCTCTGAGATATTGTGTATTTACCAAAACCATGATTAAATTGTGAGCAAATATACTCAGCACTTACAGCTGGATAGACAGTCACTACTGCAATAAGAGCTGATATTCTTAAACTTTCAAAATTTTCTACATAAAACTTTTCCTCAATAGAAATTAACACATCTATTAACTCTATACCAAGTGACTCATCGTCATCAGGCAACTGAGCGAGGACCAACTTCTCACAAGTCTCTAAACTCTGTGTGAATTTATCAGCATCATTAGTTTCTAACAAACCTTCCAACAAATCACGAAGATATTTAGGTTGTTTAGAAGTGTTTACATTAGAATAATCATTACTTTCCTCTGTGTCATCATCATCATCATCACTATCCAAGTCACTAACTGGAATTTTGCTAGAACCCTTTTTTTTTGAAAGATCAAGTTTAGTTTCATTGCATTGTTTTGATATTAGCTTTAAACGATTTGTCTTTAACTTTGAAACTGTCTCTTCACCAACATCTAACCTATCGTCCATAATATCTACCCCTACCAGCTGGCACTCTCTTTCTAATTGTGTTAACATATTGTTTCCTTTGCTCAATTCATTTTCATGAACACTCTTTTCTGATTCAACAAAATTTGTTTTCATTTCATCAGTGGAATTTCTTTGATTCTGAAATTGCATGCTGCATAACTGCCTTAAATTTGAAACAACATTTAATGAGTCATCAGTCATACCTGAATAGTCAAAATCTAAAGTTGGCTTGTCAGAGGCTGCTTCTGTATACAAGAGATTTGCAGCAATTTCTATAGTAACCATACCAATAGCTCTTACAATCTCATGGGGTGATGCAAGATGAACCGGAACTCCAGAGAAGAGCTTGGTTTGGATTTGAAATTTGTAATTACTATGATTGCTTAAAGAGCAACAGCTTTTCACACACAAAATGAAAGCTTGTGAGATGTAAATGTGTTGTTCTAATGAAGAATGATTGATGGCACTTCTGTCTCCCCATACATTAGCTAGTTTTACAGCAAGTTCACCCAACACCTCTCTTTTACACTTAGAACACTTCTGCTCATGGGAGCAAGGTATGATTTCTAAGTATCCAAACAGATTTTGAAGCATCAAAGGATCTTTCCAATCATAGCAAGATAAGAGAGGAATTTTCACACACAAATAATATTTCCAATCCTTTGATTTGTAAATTATATTACCTAATATTCTACAAACAGACAAAGGATTTTGACATACTCTTAAAATAGTTACAGCCAATTTCTCTACGAAAGGTCTTCTCATGCATTCTAACATTGACTGAACAACAAACATATAATCAACATCACTTGACCAGCAATCAAATACCAATAATAAAAATGATAGGCTACCAGCATTGTTTATATCAACGTGATTCACTACTTTCTCTAACAAAGTAGTTAAAGGCAAAATACAAAATTTCACATTATGTTTATGAGCATAAGATAAAAATTGCACACAACGTCCCAAATGACAGCAAAGAATCTTAATGTAAGTGTTCACCATAAATAAAGATGGTGTGTTTTCACGCAACTTATTAGCTACTTTACTAGGTAATGAGAAAATATTCTGAATGAAATCATTCAAAATTAACCTATAATCTATACCATCATCATTGTAACTCATCATTTTGCACAATATAAGAAAGGAACAAGAAAAATCGTAACTTTGAATTAACTTTGTCAACAAGTCAACAACAAAGAGTAATTTACCACTGATCCCACTTGCCTCTTTAACGAAATTTGATAGAAGAGCTAAAGATTCAGCAAAAAGAACAACATCATTACTTTCTACCAGAGCACGTTCCACCAACTTTTTTAAATGTAATGACCAATTGTTACTATATTTATTCAATAACTCTTCAAATATAGAAACGTATAAAGTGCAATTAATTTTATCATATACACCGACATCAATGCCACTAAATCTCTGAGGCGTTAGAGGCCCAGGAAAATACTCAAGCAGAGACACTAGCAATTCTTTCAATATTTCTAAGTCCTCACAACTACTTGACCAATTTACAGAGGTCAGAGTCAACAGTATTTCTTCACCCAATTCTTGAGGTCTCTTCACATTCCTGGCTACTTCTTTCTTGCTTTGATAATCCCTGACTTCTAGCACACTGTTGCACCCATTGCATCCATAGGCCAAATCTTGTGATGACGATGGTGATGAAGAAACCACAGCTCCCTGAGTCTCAGGACTGCACGGAACTGTAAGGTGATAAAGTTTGCGTTCGGGGCGCTTGTAAATTTTAAGAGAGAATTGCAAAGAAATAAAGGAACTTGCCGAGGTAAATATAATACAGTACAACGATCATAGCAAATACTACTTAAAACCAAACAGAGTGAAATTCAATAAATACAATAAGATTCCATATTTCAATAAATTATTTCAAAGGGTAACAGTCTATTAGACTACATTAACATCTTTTTACATGGAGTTGTTATTTACAGCACAATTGCATAAACCATCAAATAAACTGGGTACAGCCTGACCTCCAAAAACACAGAAACTGACGTTTCTTTTACGAAATCAAATACATATGTTCTTTTGTTGCATCTCACTTTCATTTATATGAAGCTGAAAGTGCTTTGCAAACTTCTATAAATACAAAAGAAAATAAATCGTAGGAAAAAATAATAAATGATTTATGTATGTACATATGTATGTAGAGGCTGTATCTGAAATAGTCACACAACACAAGTGGCCAAAAGCATTTAATGTTGAGCAACAGATCTTGAAGTCTGTGAGGCTTCCTTCGGGGATCACAAGCTGGGGGAAAAAAGATAAAGCCATCTTATTGGGAACAAGCTTGTCTAGTTACAAAGGCAGATTTTCAGGCAATATCCTCCCCTCAGGAACTGGTTAGTCTGTATTGTCAATCATTAAATTTCTACACAGATGTAGATGAACAAACTTATGTTTCTTTCATCATCCAGTTAGGAAATAATAGTGCTTCAAACAAGTAACCATATGCCAATAATTTGTAGTTATATTCTGAATTATGAAAAATGAGCTCAAGATGATATGACATGCAAGTTCAATAATAGAAACTAAATAATAAAAATGGGTGTCCGTCCAAGTTTAAAGTGAATTTCCCCCACTCCCCTTCTTGTTTCTTTCCCCTGAGGGGGGTTACAGGAACCTTCCAAGATCCAACTCGTCTAAACAACAAACTATTTTCTTTTAGAAGTCCAAACCGTTTCAGGGAGGAGGAGGGAAGGGAGAAAAACTCTTAGTTATCTCCCCCAAAAAATATTGGGGAGCCAAGACTTCTCCAGCATCTACAGAGGTGGGAGTCTGAAGGTGGAGACATTTTGAATTAATACATTTTGAATTGATGTGCCAGCATCTAATGCTGGCACATCAATAAGAGCAGGTTATGTGGGGGACAGATAACACACACATAGTTGGATGACATGATCATTGCAGACAGTAAAATAAATATGAAACCGTTGAAATAAAATTGAAATAAGTTCAATTAAACTTAATTATTTATATCAAAATCAACTTTTATAAAACTATCAATTCGAACCAATAAATGTCGAACATCATTTACTGATGTATCACAGGACTAGAAATCATTTCAATCTAGTGAAATAAGAGAATAATGGAGGTCTGACTGTAATACCTTAGCTTCATTACATCTCTAATGCAGATTTATTTCTTCACACCCATTAAATTATCTCCCAAATGAAAATATATGTACATACTACAACTATAGTAATTCAGATAGAACCAGTATTATCTGACAGCGTGCATTAAATAATAAAACTCTCGTAAATAATATTTATGTAAATCAGGTACAGCCAACTACAATTCCTAGAATTGCATCTTGATATTCCTATTTTTTCTATTCACATTACTTTTTTGTAAGTGCAGATAATTACCAAATTTATTTTACAGCAATTTAAATATTCCCAACAAATTTTCGGAACAATATGTACTTCAACATTACCACTTATTTCTAATAAAAATTATTTTAAATTGACCTTGCAAACTCTGGTTTGCTCTTTTTTTTCATCTTAAAGATAAATTGTGTATAGTTTCTCCCCCCCAAAAAAAGATTGGAACCCTAATTTCCATAAATGCTTATATTTCAGGTAACTGACAAATGGACCTAAATTAAGATTTTGGACATTTTATTTTGAAATCTTTGTTTACAGAATTTACTTTCATTATCAAATTTACTGAAAATCTGAAATCATATAGTATGTAAATTAAGATCTTTCATTAAAAGTTGTTTTTTCAAGACACAGATTTTTAGAAAAGAGTAATGGAAAAGTAGTATCTGAAATACAGTTTTAAGGCTGAGATGTTCACAAAGAATATACTAATAACTTTGTATAATATAAAAATGTTCAAGGATAACATGAATCCAATTGAAGCACAATAGCGTGTCTCAAACCACGGTGAATAGTAAACACTAAATTAAATATGCAGTTTTCAGATTACTGTTACCACATAGAAAATGTACTTGAATTCATAGCTCCTATTGCTACAGCAGCACCTTACAAAGACAAGTAACTTCATGAACTTATAAAGCATCAACCCAAACTGAAATATTACACAAATGAAGGTTTTATTCACAAAACTACATGGACAAAACTCTTGAAAACCTTAACGAAATATAAATTATTTTTCTTGAAGCAAACCAGCACCTTAATAGACATACTGTTTGTCACAATAAGCAATTCTCAAATAATTCATAAGAAATTAATGAGAAAAAAGCATGGTAACAACATGTAATGAAGACATTATGGGAAATATCAGTGTCACTGTCAAAAACAAACTGCCAAATTGGCGTTGTTTTAGGGGTTAAGAATTTTTTACCAGATTTTGCAATCACTCATAGGGATACATATGTTGTTGCGCCTACACAAAGAGCTACGTGAAGTGAATTTTGAAACGGAAAATGAATCTAAATGAACCAGCACATTTCATTACAATTTTGCAATTGTGCGCATTCCTTTAGGTCGATTTTTCTATACTAAATTCACTTCACGTGGCAGTTTTTGCAGGCAAAATGATGATATGCAATACAAATCACCACACACAACTTGTTGCACTACACTAATGAAAAATTCAGAACTGTCTCATCACAGTGCAGTCAAGAAGAATCAATAACTCTGAGGGTACAACAAAATAAACAGCTACCTTTCTGTTCTTCTACCTTTCCCTTTTCATCAACCATCCTAGAGAATATGATTGAAAATCTGAATATCACAGACCTTCATATCAAAAAATCATGCAAACAATCTGCACTCTGAGAGAAACTAAGACTGTGACACCTCATCACTTAAAAATAAATTTCAACCTTATCAAAATTGTTGGTTTGTTTTCACACCGCACAAAACATTGAAAGGAAAAAGTTTATAGCTTATCTTATTTTTAATGTAGATTTTGTAAATATTCTGAGTCCAGTGTTAATATTTTGTTTTCTCCACAATTACTTATCTAATTCCAAGGGCACTTTACATACACCAATTCTGTACTTTGAATAAAACAGTAAGTCTGTTGACACTTCGTCTGCTGTGACACTGTCATCTAACTGGGAGCTTGAAGGTTTCTACAGTGACGTCACTATAGTGACACTCATGCTCCTGATAGGATGACACAATCACAGCTGACAAAGTGTCAATGGACTTCATGTTCTAATTGATGTATAAATTAGAAATTAGTAAATATGAATATTTATATGAAAATATGAATTCTGCTATTAAATAAAAAAAGAATCATAAAAATTATTTCAAAATTAAAAGAGTTTTTAAATGTGACAATATAAAAACTTGTCTTGGGACTTTACATTAGTTTATATTGCATTTTTTAAAATTTGAAAACAAACTGTCTTAAGCATTCAAAAGTACACATCTCAATGCACAAGGAACAATTAAAAGTAAAAATTTCAATTTTTCATGAAAAAATTTTGAGATAGACGAGACTGAACTGCCACCTACCAATGCCAGTCTGGTATCGGAGATCACCATAGGGGGAGGAGGAGCAGGTCAACAGTGGACCCCAGAATCAATTCCAATATAATTAAAGGACATGTTATAAATCATCACATAAAAGGACAATGACACATACTATGTGTCAGCATCGAAAGACAAAAAGAAAAACAACAAAGTATTAGGAAAGGTTCTAATAATAGCTGG